CTATTGTAATAAAGATAATAAGTATAAAAGATTTTTTGTTCTAGAATCAGTTCGTATCTTCAAACCCATCAGGTATCAAGAGATTCCTGTCGGTATCTACTAACGAAATATAGCAAGAATATAGTCAGCGTATTTAATGGATCAACACACTATGAATGTATTATTTTTTTACTATAATCGTTATTACTACTGTCATTGGTATTGTCATTACTATTATCATTGTCATTGTTATCCTTAATATTGTGGAATTATTTACCATTTACAATAGTCAACATCACCACTATGTGAATAATAACTTAAATAATAATGATATAGCATGGTTCGGATATGGAAGTCAGTCAAGTAATTTATGCAAATGCAGTAAAATAATTGCCTTCAGTTATAATCAATAATTCTATCATGTGAGAGACATTGGTTGTTATCCATTCAAAACTCAGTTACCTTAATAATCAAACAAACGTTGTGTGTGCGTGATGGCTGGTTTTGTTTAAGCGGTACGACACTGATTCGATGGGTTTTCATACGCCCGACAGCGTACGCCCGACGCCCACACGACTTGAAACAATTGCAAATATTTGGCGTTGCAGATAAAGCCTTAAATTGTTTATTGGAAAAGGGTTGTTGACAGAAAATGTACCTTTGAGGGTTCCGTTTTTTTTTTTTTTTTTTTTTTTTTTTTTTTTTTTTTTTTTTTTTTTTTTTTTTTTTTTTTTTTTTTTTTTTTTTTTTTTTTTTTTTTTTTTTTTTTTTTTTTTTTTTTTTTTTTTTTTTTTTTTTTTTTTTTTTTTTTTTTTTTTTTTTTTTTTTTTTTTTTTTTTTTTTTTTTTTTTTTTTTTTTTTTTTTTTTTTTTTTTTTTTTTTTTTTTTTTTTTTTTTTTTTTTTTTTTTTTTTTTTTTTTTTTTTTTTTTTTTTTTTTTTTTTTTTTTTTTTTTTTTTTTTTTTTTTTTTTTTTTTTTTTTTTTTTTTTTTTTTTTTTTTTTTTTTTTTTTTTTTTTTTTTTTTTTTTTTTTTTTTTTTTTTTTTTTTTTTTTTTTTTTTTTTTTTTTTTTTTTTTTTTTTTTTTTTTTTTTTTTTTTTTTTTTTTTTTTTTTTTTTTTTTTTTTTTTTTTTTTTTTTTTTTTTTTTTTTTTTTTTTTTTTTTTTTTTTTTTTTTTTTTTTTTTTTTTTTTTTTTTTTTTTTTTTTTTTTTTTTTTTTTTTTTTTTTTTTTTTTTTTTTTTTTTTTTTTTTTTTTTTTTTTTTTTTTTTTTTTTTTTTTTTTTTTTTTTTTTTTTTTTTTTTTTTTTTTTTTTTTTTTTTTTTTTTTTTTTTTTTTTTTTTTTTTTTTTTTTTTTTTTTTTTTTTTTTTTTTTTTTTTTTTTTTTGTTCTAGAATTAGTTCGTATCTTCAAACCCATCAGGTATCAAGAATTCCTGTCGGTATCTACTAACGAAATATAGCAAGAATATAGTCAGCGTATTTGGTGGATCAATTTTTTTACTATAATCGTTATTACTGCTGTCATAGGTATTGTCATTACTATTATTATTGTCATTGTTATCCTTAATATTGTGGAATTATTTACCATTTACAATAGTCAACATCACCACTATGTGAATAATAACTTAAATAATAATGATATAGCATGGTTCGGATATGGTAGTCAATCAAGTAATTTATGCAAATGCAGTAAAATAATTGGCTTCAGTTATAATCAATAATTATATCATGTGAGAGACATTGGTTGTTATCCATTCAAAACTCAGTTACCTTAATAATCAAACAAACGTTGTGTGTGCGTGATGGCTGGTTTTATTTAAGCGGTACGACACTGATTCGATGGGTTTTCATACGCCCGACAGCGTATGCCCGACGCCCACACGACTTGAAACAATTGCAAATATTTGGCGTTGCAGATAAAGCCTTAAATTGTTTATTGGAAAAGGGTTGTTGACTGAAAATATACCTTTGAGGGTTCCGTGATATGAATTTAGTTTCCTGGAAATTACCCTGAGGGATCTCTAATACAATGGGAGTTTATTGGAAAAGGGGTTAACACAAAAATGTGTTTACTCTCTATCATATTTGGGGAAAAAATCATAAAACACATTTTCCAATTAATGATTATATGATGTACCTTACAAAGTTCAAGAAGATGACCCATTTGACTCTTCTCTAGAATTTTTTTTTATTAAGTTTTCATTCTTTTTCATTTGCTCAACATTTTTTTGGCATGTGATTGAATACATATCTGAAAAATGTCAAATAGTTTCAATAACATGATCGATAATAAAAGAATATCCATCATCAAACTAATGATGACATGCCAATAAGAATTCAAAGCGATATTCTTAAAAAAAGAAAGAAAGAAAGAAGAAAAAAACGAAATTAGGAAACGCCTACAGAATTCTACCATTGTAAACACTGTCCCAGATATAACCTGGACTTCCTAAATTTCCTTCAAAATTGTTTCAGAAAATTTCAAAAATAGACTCGAGTGTTCTGGGGACGTTACCAGACCTACGTAGGCATGTGGAAACCAGGAAAAGGAGCCACATAGGATGTAAAATTATCTCTTCCTGTGCTTCCTCTTCCCCTTGGTCGTTTATAACTCTCAGGCACGCGCGAGTATTGCATTACATTTACTTAAAGGTTAGTGTTAATATTTCAGGATAAATGGTTTGTAAGGCCTAACCATTACCTATATTTTTTATTTATTTATTTACGTATTAATTGTCATTTGTGTTATTTTTTTCAAGGGTGGGGTTGTTACATTTTCTGGTAATATCTTAGTGTATTTTTATTGGTCTTATTGTTATGTGCATATTTTTCCAGTGCATTGGTTGTCTATACCCTGACTAATCACCCACAATAATGTATTCATAATTACGTTGTATATTTTCTATCATACTTACTGGATGGGATTTATCAAAACAAGAATCATTGAACTATATAGTGGAAACGTAGAATCAATAGTTAGGATAAGTAACTTCATTATAAGCAAAGATTCCTCATGACGGGAATTTCAGTCGAGCAAATATATATAAAAATGCCAATAATGAAAATTATACATAACGTTACTTATAACATTTGTTCTAAATCTATTCATGTTATAGAGTCTAAGACAATTCATAACATTGACACAGCGAGAGATGCTCATACAACTGCAAATCACAAATACAGATTCTGCTATTCCTACACTAGAGGCTACTACAACGGCCAGGTCTCCGCAGTTTTATAAATAGCTAGTTTGTTGGGGGACAGAGTAAACGGGGGGAGGGGGGAGATATGAGGGGGGAGCGACAGGCCGAAACTTCATTTATTTTTGCTCCGTTTCCCATTTTCTATGAGAACACACCGAGTCTCCCAAAACAATTACATTTAGGCATTATTCTCCTGAATAAATAAACGAATATACAACTCATTTATCGAAAGAAAGAAAGAAAATGGGAGGAGGGAAAAAAGAGAAAACGTTGGTCTCAAGATATGCGTGCACATTGTGGTGCGTTCTAGCAAACTCTCGAGACCAGAGGCGACCGGAACGGAGGTAGTGAACTGTCTCAGTCGGTGTATGAGGTGAGCCATGTGGTCTCGGTTCAGTCTTCACCCACGAGCTTGACGGAACACTTCAAGAATATCACACGTGAGGTTTAATTTCTGCGTGGAGAAAGGTACGTGTTGAGAGATAAAGCGTTTTGATACTGTTGGTACTATTTGGATATCATTTTTACGGTTCGTCGCTGATTACTTCAGTGGGTGCTGTGAATATTATTGGTATTAACTGTCTTTCGATATTAATACCAGAGTTATGGTGTATGTATCGAATTTCTTTTACTGATATAGAGGAAAAGTGAGTTGGCAGTATGAAGTGAATCGAAAATAAGGAATGTAAAATGAAGTGAAATCAGATGAATCGGCGACTGCAACAGAAGCGCGTGTACCTGCTATAAATAGGCTGGGACTAGGTCATCATAAATAACACAAATGTTGTACGAAAGATCATATTATTCTATCCAGAAAAATATAAATATCAAAGCATATAATAAGAGTTAGATAAAAAAAATCCTTATTGATAATTTTTTCTTATAATATTCATGAAAAATGTACTGTGGCGAAAATTCCTCGCAATGAAAGGATTCCCTCTGGAATGTATTGCATTTATTTATGAAGGGAGTTACGTAATGGTAAAAAATAAACACGACATCGATGATAATAGTGGTTAAGGGCCAATATAGAGTAAAATGATATGATACTGACGAAAATAGAATAATTATTGATTTGGAAATAAAACCTATTAAAAGAAAATATGTGCCAAGGATGTATCAGTTTCATGATCACTCATAATAATAGCCATAACGTCTTTATTCATTATTCTCCCCCCTCCCCCCCCCTCTCTCTCTCTCTCGCGCGCGCGCATGTGTGTGATGTATATGATATATATGTGCGTATACATATGTGTAAATGTATAATGTATATATATAAATGTATATATATATATATATATATATATATAAGTATGTATGCATGTATGTATAAATATGTGTATATGTGTGTGTGCATATTTATATGTATGTGTCTGTGTGTCTCTGTGTATGTGTGTCTGTGTCTTTGTGTGTGCGCGCGCGCGTACTTGTTTGTGTTTGCATGTGTGCTTATGTGCATGCGTACGTGTACATGAGTGAATATTTAGAAATAGATATGTATATGTAAGTACTCAAACAAACTAAATATACACCTCTACAGCTTGACATTTCAGACATGCAAAACTCAGTCACAGACATTGGCAATTTCGCTATACACTATATAATACAGTATGGTCGAGAGGAAGAATATACTGTTGCTAGTCTGTCTCTGTATGTATCTGGATCTAAATGCCCCGCAATACTAATTAAATATCCTAAAAATTAGGCAGTAAAGAAAAAGAAAGAAAGAAAGAAATCTATAAATGAACAAATAAGTGGAATAGAGTTAATGAGTAAATAAGGTAAACAATAAAACTAATATAAATACAAATAGAAATGGATAATGAAAACCAATAAAGTACAAATATAAAACAAAACAAAACTAGTACAAATAAAGGGCAAGAAATCGTGTCAGCAATGTGATTTCTCGGTCAACCAAAATGCAGCGTCTGGCGAGGGGTCACCTGTGAATGCACAAATGCCTTCGGGTAGGTCAGGCAGTCCTTGCAGGTCACAGGTCAAATGAGACGATGTGTGACGTCATTTAGGCCAAAGGTCACTGTAAAACAACCCCCTTGCTAGTAGGATAATGAATAACTCCACAGCGTCACAGATGTATGTGATGCTTTTCGAGTTCATCTTCACCCAGTATACGTATATTTCAATTGACGTATTTCTGAAGGAAGCTTGATAGAAACGCGTCGATTACACCTGCGTTGTGAAGTTAAGTCCGATATGCGAAGCTGAGCCTCGCCCGGGCTATCAGGGAAGCCCGGCCTGAGCCGACTAATGTCGACTCGCTATCAGTGTGTCAGCCGGTGCTGACTCGGCTTTAGTCCTTACCCGCCGTGGTGCCCAGCCACAGCAGTAACCCCCAGGCGACAATTGCAACTTCTCGCGCCTGGGCGGGGCGCGAACCGCCGACCCCTCGGATGAGAAGCCGACACGTTACCACTATACTAGCCTGGAAACTAAACTTGTGAAGTTATTATCATTTTCATTCAGATTTTTTATTTTTTATTCCTTAAATGAAATGACAAGACTTAACAACATTGTATTCGGATGGTTCAAAATGTATATGTGCAAAAAAAAAAAAAAAAGTCTCCGCAAAACAGTGGCAGAAATATAAGGAAAGGGATAATGAAGAGAGAATAATAATAACAAATACAAATCAAATGCGACTTCGATTTTTTTTTTTTTTGAGAACCTGCTTCACTGTTGTCCAAATACGATAAAATATACAGGAAGGGTTGCGTCATCTGGTTTGCTTTGATACTGTTCTTCCAGGTCGACCGGTCTCGCGAAAAATAACAACTGGCACCTCACCCTGATTCCGGAGTACTCCGATTCACCAACTCTCCTCTGAGGAAAAAAAAAAGAAACAAAACAAAACTAGTACAAATAAAGGGCAAGAAATCGTGTCAGCAATGTGATTTCTCGGTCAACCAAAATGCAGCGTCTGGCGAGGGGTCACCTGTGAATGCACAAATGCCTTCGGGTAGGTCAGGCAGTCCTTGCAGGTCACAGGTCAAATGAGACGATGTGTGACGTCGTTTAGGCCAAAGGTCACTGTAAAACAACCCCCTTGCTAGTAGGATAATGAATAACTCCACAGCGTCACAGATGTATGTGATGCTTTTCGAGTTCATCTTCACCCAGTATACGTATATTTCAATTGACGTATTTCTGAAGGAAGCTTGATAGAAACGCGTCGATTACACCTGCGTTGTGAAGTTAAGTCCGATATGCGAAGCTGAGCCTCGCCCGGGCTATCAGGGAGCCCGGCCTGAGCCGACTAATGTCGACTCGCTATCAGTGTGTCAGCCGGTGCTGACTCGGCTTTAGTCCTTACCCGCCGTGGTGCCCAGCCACAGCAGTAAAGTGGTCTTGCGTACAGAAAAAAATGATAAAAAACAATAATGACATTGCATTAACATTTGAAAATACAAAACACATATAAACAAGTATTAAATGTCAGCTGATTATAATGAAAGGAGACTTAGCGACGTAAGTCACAGGCAGGGCCGGATTATCCTATAGGCTAGTATAGGCTGCAGCCTAGGCCCCCTCAAGTTTGGGGGTCCCAAGCTTGAGGGGCTTGGTTATAAAAAAAATGTTTTTTTTTTCACTACAGTTGTATTGAAATATAGTAGTAGTGGTATTTAAAGAATATTTTTATTGACAAACAAAAGATAGCTATGCTAGTTTATTTAAAGAATTTGCAATAAGTTTACTTCAAGCTATGTAAATGTCGCTAAAATATATCACGAGTAAAAAATATTCTGAGGGGGTCCCATAATTTCATTAGCCTAGGGGCCCCAAAAGGTCATAATCCGGCCCTGATCACAGGATCTTGGGTTTCGTGGAGGCCAAGCTAAAAGTACCATTCCATTCCTAACTTCTGAATACTTATGAGTATACATTATATAAAATAACGTCACGCACAGAATTTATGAGTGGTGTATGGTCCAGTAGTATCGCTCTCGTCTAGAAGTCTTACCGACTAGAGTTCAAATCTTAGTCAACGGATGGTAACGTAGGCTATTATATGTTCCATAGGGGTCAATATAGAACTACAATAAACCAACAGTCACAATTTCAGTAAAGGCGTCACAAGAGCTATTCTCCTAATCTTAAATAATTGAAATCATCATTATCATTAGAAACTAACCATTGTGATACATATATTTAGTAAAGTTATTGTTACAGAAGTAAGGCAATCCCTAAACAATATAGGTATGCAGTCGACATATCATATCACTTCAGTTCACATATTTTGGCGTTCACATCTTCGTTCACGTCTTTAGAATTTGCATGAGGGGAATTTCATCTGATTCAGTGCATTAGTATAAAAGGTGTAGTCTGGTCCTATTATTATTATTATTATCATTAGTATTATTATTATTGATTATTATTATTTGATACACCATACAATCAGTATTTAATATAATAAACTGTTCACGCTTATTCGAAATATACTTTTTTTCAAGTCCAGCCAATACACAAATTCATGTTCACATGCTGTCAGATTCTAAGAAAAAGCCACGTAATCACGATAAAGATTAAACTTCAAAGGCATTTAAAGAGAATGATGATGGGTAACAAAGTCGAGTCTAGATGATAAGTCGTTTTAATATCAATAAATAAGTAGATAGATAAATAAAATTATAAATAAATAAATAGATAGGCCTAATTATAATAAATAGTAATAATAAAAATTATGAGGATATTAATGATGATAATATTGATAAGATAACATTAATGATAACAGTAATGTTCATAATAATGATAAAAATGATAATAATTATGATAATGATGATGATAATAATGATAACAATAATGATCATAATAATGGTAACAATAATGATCATAATAATGATACCAGTAATAATAATAATAATAACAATAATAATAATATTATTATTATTATATTAGCAAAACAATAATGAAAAAAAATAACAAATAAACAAAGACAAATAAGGAAATACAAACAACACAAATAAATCAAGATGAAAAAAGAATAAAACCAATAAAATACCCAGAATAATTGCCTGATTCGCCACTCATGGGGGGGGGGGGGGTCCCGATGGCGTCATTGGAACAGCATGGGCGCTTGGCATATTTTTGGCGACTTGCCTGCTTTTACACGCCGGGTTTTGAGCTGCCCAGAGAGTAATAACCTCCTGTCTTACTTGGGTAACTAAATCTCACTGAATATTCTCGAATCTTTATTTTTTTTTGTAATGAAGATTGAGTTTTAAACATTTAGGATTTGATGGCAGCTTATGAGAAATATTGATCGTTTTAAGACAGTTGGAAATTGCTTTGATGCCCATAGAAAACGGGATCTTGCACTTTGTTAATATCTCCGATTTTTTCACATTTAGTTTTTCTTTCCAAAATCCGATGGAACTTTGTCTCATATAGGGATTTAATTGAGGGTAGGTATACACATATATACCACGAGCATCTGAAATATTTTTTTAGGCGGTTATTGGTGGTTTATAGAAAACGGGCATATCTTTCTCCTACTGTTTCTCACTCATCTCTCTCTCTCTCTCTCTCTCCCTCTCTCTCTCTCTCTGTGTCTCTGTCCCTCTCTCTCTCTCTCTCTCTCTCTCTCTCTCTATATATATATATATATATATATATATATATATATATATATATATATATATATATATGTACATATATATATATGCGTATGTCTGTGTCTATATATTACCTGTCTACACATATATACTGCATTATAGAGTGTTGTATGTCTATACGCCCGTGTGCGTGTGCATACATGTGTACGATTATGCGCGTCAATGTATGCACGATAGCTAATAACAAGGCTCAGGTGCCAACAATCACCAGGTAAAAATGAGAACAAATGCTTCCCTCCACGCCAGGTTCCTAAGGTGTTTCCAACGTTTCGCTTCTTTTCATAATCTTTCGTCGCTTTGTTCTCTGAATGACCGTTGCTGTCTTTGGGGCCAACGAGGTGTGATCAAGCCCGAATGATTAACTTTATTGGCCAAACAAGAGGATTGTTTGCTTGATATTGTCCAGTATTTATTTTGTTATTATTGATATTGGTTTATATATATATATATATATATATATATATATATATATATATATATATATATGTATATATATATATATATATATATATATATATGTATATATATATATATATATATATATATATATATATATATATATATATATATATATATATATATATATATGAATGGTAAAACACTCTTCCGTGTTGTTACTATGGTAGAAAAAATAAGCAAAAAATAGGCTTACTGAGAATAAGACAATAAAGTTTTTGCATTGTTAGTTTTTCTATCATTAATATAAATGTATACATATATTCATACATACACACAGACAAACGTACAAAACACACACACATACACACACACACACACACACACACACACACACACACACACACACACATATATATATATATATATATATATATATATATATATATATATATATATATATGTATGTATATGCATGTGTGTATGTAATTCCATAAAGAAGAATACATTCTGTAGTAATTTATTTTCGTTGAATTATTCATTAATTCGTGTTATCGTCTTATCTTATTTTCTCTTATCTGATTCATATTTCCTTCACTTGCCACAGTGAATCCTAGAACGAGGAAATTTTGAGATTACAATAACCCGAATATGGCAACACTGATATCAGTCTTATAAGAACAACTTTCATTAATCACTTTAAGCTCTATGATGATAATGCAATGCTTATCGGTGCGATTAAAATACAACCCTCCATTAATCTCATCAAAATGGTAATCTTTAATAATCTCATTAAACATGTTATTAATCTGCTTTGTCCCTTTTATTTTTACTGAAATATCACGTAAAATATCAATTCGTCAATTTTTGCGTTTCCGTATGAAATATTTGTATTCAAGTGGACTGAAGCTATTTTAGAGAAATGTAATTATGTATACCACATACAGAAATATTCTAGAAAATTAACTCAACATTTACATTAACGCATTATATCTAATTTACTCATAAAACAAAACATTCCAGTCCTACCTACCTATCTGCCTACCTACCTACCTATCTGCCTACCTACCTACCTACCTATCTGCCTACCTACCTACCTATCTCCCTACCTACCTATCCACTTACCTGTCTATCTGCCTTCCTACCCACCTACCTACCTATCTCCCTACCTACCTACCTACCTACCTACCTACCTACCTACCTACCTACCTACCTATCTGCCTACCTACCTACCTACCCACTTACCTATCTGCCTACCTACCTACCTATCTGCCTACCTACCTACCTACCTACCCACTTACCTATCTGCCTACCTACCTACCTACCTACCCACTTACCTATCTGCCTACCTACCTACCTACCTATCTCCCTACCTACCTACCTATCTGCCTACCTACCTACCTACCTATCTCCCTACCTACCTACCCACTTACCTATCTGCCTACCTACCTACCTACCTACCTACCTACCCACTTACCTATCTGCCTACCTACCTACCTACCTACCTACCTACCTACCCACTTACCTATCTGCCTACCTACCTACCTACCTACCTACCTACCCACTTACCTATATGCCTACCTACCTACCTACCTACCTACCTTCCTACCTACCTACCTATCTATCTATCTGTCTACCTACCTACCTATCTGCCTACCTACCTACCTATCTCCCTACCTACCTACCTATCTGCCTACCTACCTACCTATCTCCCTACCTACCTACCCACTTACCTGTCTATCTGCCTTCCTACCCACCTACCTACCTATCTGCCTACTTACCCACTTACCTACCTACCTACCTACCTATTTACCCACTTACCTACCTACCCACTTACCTATCTGCCTACCTACCTACCCACTTACCTATCTGCCTACCTACCTACCTACCTACCTATCTGCCTACCTACCTACCTATCTGCCTACCTACCTACCTACCTATCTGCCTACCTACCTACCTATCTCCCTACCTACCTACCTATCTGCCTACCTACCTACCTACCTATCTGCCTACCTACCTACCTACCTACCTACCTACCTACCTACCTATCTCCCTACCTACCTACCTACCTATCTCCCTACCTACCTACCTATCTCCCTACCTACCTACCTATCTCCCTACCTACCTACCTATCTCCCTACCTGCCTACCCACTTACCTGTCTATCTGCCTTCCTACCCACCTACCTACCTATCTCCCTACCTACCTATCCACTTACCTGTCTATCTGCCTTCCTACCTACCTATCTGCCTACTTACCCACCTACCTACCTATCTGCCTACCTACCTACCTATCTCCCTACCTACCTACCTATCTCCCTACCTACCTACCTACCTATCTCCCTACCTACCTATCTGCCTACTTACCCACTTACCTACCTACCTACCTACCCACTTACCTGTCTATCTGCATTCCTACCCACCTACCTACCTATCTCCCTACCTGCCTACCCACTTACCTATCTGCCTACCTACCTATCTATCTACCAACCCGCCTACCTACCTACCTACCTACCTACCCACTTACCTATCTGCCTACCTACCTACCTACCCACTTACCTGTCTATCTGCCTTCCTACCCACCTACCTACCTATCTGCCTACCTACCTACCTACCCACTTACCTATCTGCCTACCTACCTACCTACCTATCTGCCTACCTACCTACCTATCTGCCTACCTACCTACCTACCTACCTATCTGCCTACCTACCTACCTACCCACTTACCTATCTGCCTACCTACCTACCTATCTCCCTACCTGCCTACCCACTTACCTGTCTATCTGCCTTCCTACCCACCTACCTACCTATCTCCCTACCTACCTACCCACTTACCTGTCTATCTGCCTTCCTACCCACCTACCTACCTATCTGCCTACTTACCCACTTACCTACCTACCTACCTACCCACTTACCTGTCTATCTGCATTCCTACCCACCTACCTACCTATCTCCCTACCTGCCTACCTATCTCCCTACCTACCTACCCACTTACCTATCTGCCTACCTACCTACCTACCTACCTATCTCCCTACCTACCTACCTATCTGCCTACCTACCTACCTACCTATCTCCCTACCTACCTACCTATCTGCCTACCTACCTACCCACTTACCTGTCTATCTGCCTACTTACCCACCTACCTACCTATCTGCCTACCTACCTACCTATCTCCCTACCTACCTACCCATCTCCCTACCTATCTCCCTACCTACCTACCTACCTACCTACCTACTTACCCACCCACCACCTACCTATCTATCTACCTACCTACCTACCTACCTATCTGCCTACCTACCTACCTACCTACCTATCTGCCTACCTACCTACCTACCTATCTGCCTACCTACCTACCTATCTCCCTACCTACCTACCTATCTGCCTACCTACCTACCTACCTATCTGCCTACCTACCTACCTATCTGCCTACCTACCTACCTACCTATCTCCCTACCTACCTACCTACCTACCCACTTACCTATCTGCCTACCTACCTACCTATCTCCCTACCTACCTACCCACTTACCTATCTGCCTACCTACCTACCTACCTACCTACCCACTTACCTATCTGCCTACCTACCTACCTATCTGCCTACCTACCTACCTATCTGTCTACCTACCGACCTATCTGCCTACCTACCTATCTATCTGCCTACCTACCTACCTACCTACCTACCCACTTACCTATCTGCCTACCTACCTACCTACCTACCTACCTATCTGCCTACCTACCTACCTATCTGCCTACCTACCTACCTACCCACTTACCTATCTGCCTACCTACCTACCTACTTACCCACCCACCTACCTACCTATCTATCTACCAACCCGCCTACCTACCTACCTACCTACTAACCAATCCTCAAGCAGCACCCACCCTACTGACGAGGCCCTCCGTTACAGATGGAGCAGCAGCAGGAGGAGCAGGAGGTGGGCCTCTGCGCCAACTGCGGGTTCCTGGCCAAGCTCCGTTGCGCCAGCTGCAGGCAAGCATTTTACTGCAAGAAGGAGTGTCAGAAACAGCACTGGAATAATGGACACAAAGAAAGATGCAAGCCCTTTAAGGTGAGGATACTTGTGTAGACTATTTTGTGCACGTACATATGTGTGGATGGGCACGCACACACACACACACAAAAGGAGGTAGATACACACAAGCAAGCTATATTCGTAACCAGGAAGGACAGCACAAACCAATTACAAATTCGAAGTGGTAGAGAAAGAAATGGCGAAATATATTTGAAACGATTAAATGTAATTGAACGGTCCAACACTTAGCTCCTGGAATTAAAAATAACAACAGCAACAAAATACAACGAAACACATCGAAAACCGTCCCTACGCGACCTATAACAAACCCGATGTAGTGTGTCCTAATCTCAGGGAAAAGAGAGAAACTGGCAACTCTCCTCGAACTCTGGAGTATTCCGATTTACTAAAAATATATATAAAGTGGCGTTGAAGGTTGCACATTTCAAGAAAAAACAACACTTTATATATTTTTTTAAGTTTTTAGTAGTTTTTTAGTATAAGCATCAAGCTATTAGAATAACAACAAAATAATGATGGTAATAAAAGAGAGAGAGAGCGAGCACCCTAGCATCCTTGCAGAGTTGCCAGTTTGTTCTCTCTCGCGCCTGGGCGGAATATTCAAGCACTGCAAATCTTTATGTTTTCACCTACAGGTATTAGAGTCCAAAGAATTAGGGCGCTACATGGTTGCCTCTCGAGACCTGAAGGCCGGAGACATCATATTCAAGGACGACGCTTTGGTAGTTGGACCGAAGACCATTACAGAGCCGGTCTGCCTCGGGTGTTACAAGAGGGTCGATGGATCATACAGGTTAGTGATGCAGACGCGAAGAGATGGATTCATATATATATTTGAAAGTGGGTAGGAATATAGATTGTAGATGGATTGATATAGATATATATAGAGGTTTAGATATAGATGTAGATATATGTAGAGGTCTAGGTATAGATATAGATATATGTATAGATTTCTTTCTATATATCTTTTTGTTTCCCTCCCCATTTCTCTCTCCCTCTCTCTCTCTCTCTCTCTCTCTCTCTCTCTCTCTCTCTCTCTCTCTCTCTCTCTCTCTCTCTCTAGACCGTGTCTTAGCACTTTGTGTCCTTGTGAAACGCCGACTTGAGTTTCAACAAGGAATGCTTGCAGCTTATGTTGATCTCAAGAAGGCTTTCGACTCCGGGAGAGTCTCTGGAGCCTACTGGGTCTCCGTGGGATCCCCCCTGGGATTATTGGTTTGCTGTCTGGCCTGTATACAGATACCGAGAGTGTCGTCAGGTGTGGGGAGGGCATCTCTTTCTTTTTCCCGATGTCTGCCGGGGTGAGAGAGGGATGCGTCCTGCCCCCAACCCTTTTCAATACTTGTATGGACTGGATACTTGGCCGTTCCGTGGACCGTAGTTCCTGGAGCATCATTTGGTAATTTCAAGATTACAGTCCTTGACTTTGCCGATGATGCAGTGATTCTAGCAGAGACATTGGAGGTCCTGGAAGTAGCTCTTGAGGCGCTGCATGAAGAGGTGAAGCCGTTGGGACTCTCGGTCAACTGGACCAAGACCAAGGTTCAGGAATTTGGGGACCTGATGGATGTCGATGTTCAATCTGTTCATGCCTGTGGGAGAACATTGAGGTCTTGGATAGCTTAAATTATTTTGGTAATGTAGTGCAGAGCGACGGAGGTTCCGACCGGGTAGTCACTCGACGACTCGGTCTGGCCTACGGCGTTATGGACTCACTCAATAGGAGTATTTGGCGCTGTCGGTTAATGACTTGGAGGACTAAGATCAGGCTCTTCAGAGCACTGGTGATCCCGGTCTTACTCTACAGGTGTGAGACCTGAGCACTGAACAGTGCTCAGAGTGCCCGTCTAGACTCCTGTGGTATTAAGTGTCACTGAATCATGGGGTATACCTGGAGAGACCATGTGTCCAATCAGAGGATACTCCGTGAGACTGATTCAAGACCTATTACCAGTCTATTACGAGAGCGCCAACTTAAGCTCTATGGGCATGTGGCTCGTTTGTCTGAGGAAGATCTGGCTTATAGGGTTATCTCCGAGAAGGTTGACCCAGGCTGGAGAAGGCCAAGGGGAAGGCCACGGAACTCTTGGCTGAAGCAAGTCGATCAGATTCGCCAAGATGTGGTGGGGTGGGAAGGAATGTGGCAAGGAGGCTTGCTCGGAGGGACCCCAGGAGGTGGAGGCAAAGGTTGGGCGCGGTAAAGCGCAGCCATGCGTATGACCCCTTATGATGATGATGATGATATATATATACATGTGTGTGTGTGCGTGTGCCTCTCTCCCTCTCTCTCTGCTCTCTCTCTCTCTCTCTCTCTCTCTCTCTCTCTCTCTCTCTCTCTCTCTATATATATATATATATATATATATATATATATATATATATATATATATATATATATATACATATTATATGCATACACAGAAGTAAACCCAAATTCGTAGAAGGGATATTGCTACATGTAGTCCCTCTTTCATATTTAATGCTACCCAATGCATTTAATATTTAATAAATTATTATATTTTTTTCATCATTACAGATGCCGAGTATGTGAATGGCCCATGTGCGGTCCAGCCTGTGAAAAGCTGCCCGACCACCAACCGGAGTGTGTGATCGGTCGTGAAATCGGGTCTCCGATCGACATTCAGAACTTCGACGAGCCTAATCACTTTTACGAACTAGTCTTTCCTTTGAGGTAAATTTACTCTGTTAATTTTGTTGGGGTAAATGATTAAGGGGGGAAGGCAAAGGGGGTATATTTGGTAGAAAAAAGGAAGGAAGGGGAGGAATTGCACATATAGAGCGTCGACGGGCCTATTTTATTATTATTATTTTTTTTACGGATTCCGCAAGTTTTGTACGTATCATTAATTAGGGGTGAGTCACATTATATGGGGGGTAATTTTAGTTGATTTTGTATGTATATTCTCGCTCCCGATATGAAGTAGTATACCTCGTAAAAAGAAAAAGAAGAAAAAAAGTTCAGAACTTCGACGAGCGTAATTACTCTTACGTCAGTTACGCGTTTCGATGATACAGGAGTCGGTAATTAGGCGTTGCCATATATTCCTGCTCTCGAGGCAAAAGAAAGAAATACATACATGTGTGTGTGTGTGTGTGTGTGTGTGTGTGTGTGTGTGTGTGTGTGTGTGTGTGTGTTTATGTGTGTGTGTGTTGTGTGTGCGTAAACCGAGATAAGACCACTAACGTAAAGACAACATTGTGTGTCGAAGCGGCGTATCGCTACAAGCAACGGTAGTGTAGAAAGCGTCATCATATCTCATATCCCACATGGCTAGTCTTATGACAAATGTCCACTATGGTCCCACATTGGACCAGGAATAGTTTCGAAATATAAAGAAAAAATCAAGATGTGCCCTTTTCTTGGTGACGTACATGAACACAGTTTTATTCATTATTTGTTTCAAATCAACACCATTGAAAATGCACTTTATGGGTAAAAATTACAAATTTCATTATTTGCAATTATTCTTTCCTTAACAACAAACACACACACGTACACACGCGCGCGCATATATATATAATCGAAACCGGTCAAATACATCTCTTGCATTGTGAAGATATTCATTCTCATTCATAACTTTTTTACATTTGCCAGCATGAATACGGTTCAGCTTTTAGGCGATCTGTCAGAATGCCACACAGCTGATTTATCTACTTGGCAGTCAGTCTAACGAGAGGGTCATTATCCATGAGTTTGAATAATTTCATCATAAGTGAGCAGGCTATACTGTATTGAGGTTAAGGCTTATAACCCAGGTGTAAAAGTTCTTTCAATATTTTCGTAAAACATGGGGTTTAAAAAGCCGGGAAGAAGAAAAGTCTAAATTTGCATACGTAATATATTCAGTGGGGAACAATGAACCTGTTGTCTTGTTTAATGAGTCCTGATTTTTGTCTTGACTTTCTAAGAAAATAAAATGTTTATTCAGATAATTTCCAGTACTGTATATGAAAATATGTTTGTAAGATATGATCAACATCTTTTCTTGCACACACACTAAAAAGAAAACGGAAAAGAAAAAAAATGTGTGTATATATATGTATATATATATATATATATATATATATATATATATATATATATATATATATATATATTATATTATATATATAATATATATATATATATATATATATATATATATATATATATATATATATATATATATATATATATATATATATGATTGGATTATATAAACATCTATCATACAACTTCTA